GTTATATGTATTGTTAAACTGGTTTGACTACCTCTCTAGCGAATTTTTTTTCGTGATTTTGTATCTTCTCCGGTGGAAGAGAGCCGCCGAGCTAATTTTGTACGTGTATCAAGATCATCGACCACGATATAAGTTTTTTTTTCATCGTAAAGCAAAAACTATCTAAACAGAATTTAGATTAAGAATTTTAAATGGCAATAAAAAATTTGGAATATTTATTTCAAAGAGAAAAGAATCGAGAGAAACAAAGGAAAGAGATCGAGAAGAATCCGATTATATAATAACGAGTTTTTTCTGCAGGTGGTCCATCTTTCGATAAATGGAGAGAAAGTTACATCAATTTGGACAGACTGACCACTTATAGTGAATCTCATGTAACCATTTTGAGTAATCAATCTCCTTGGCGAAATTTGACACGATTCCTTTCGCTTACTTTTCGGCTATGCAAAATTATAAAAACTGCTCTCTAGTAATATTTCTGTTCACAATTATTATATATAATTAATATATTATAGTTAATTCAGGATTTTTTATAATCATTATTATTATCCTATCATAAATATTTATATTTAATGTATTTTTATGTATTATATTAATTTTCTAATCTTTATTTTTTAGTAATTTTGAATAACTATTATCTTACTGATTAGAGCAAAAATGTATAATTTTATATATTTTACATCCTACATATTTTAATAACGCACAGATCTGCAGAAATAGAAATTAAATCGATCGAAAACTTTTACTTTTCTAATACTAACATAGGCAAAAATCACATCATTGCCTTCCCACTGGTCCACTCAATTTAAGATTTCACTGATACTAAATTAACAAGTGAAAAATGAAAGGCCGCGAGATTTCGTAAAAAAAATCGTAGAAAGATAATTTTAAATATCAAAATTCTCGTCCGATTTCCAACGCAAAATTATTTATGAGAAAAGTTTCGAAAGATCGTGAGAGTCGAATGAAATATTAATTCGCGAAAGTATAAACTTGATGAAAGTATTAGCAATTATATTTTCAAAGAATTTCTTAATGCGATAATTCAAAGATAAAATAAATTTATCAAACAGCGATAATAATCGGGTTTTGCGCGTAAAGGAATTTGAGAGCTTGTCCTTTTTCAAACGAGCCTTTTATTGCGCAAGAAGAAGACATCGAGTCATCTTGTGTACGCGAGAATGTGCACTTGAGAGTGCTTATGTAAGAATCGCTTGAGATACAGCTTCGCCATATTAGGACGTGGCTTCTCGCGTATCATTTAATCCCGTGCTCGTTCTATACCATCACTAACGAATTAAAAATAAGAAAAAAAAACAAAGCAGAAATATCCAATTTTTGACACCCTATAATTTGCTACAAAAAAATCTCCTTATTCTATTCCTCCGGCATATATAATTTCTCGACATTTACACGCGCGCTTTTGGCTAAAAATATAAATTCGCGAAGAAGGGGATCAAACGGACGCAAATTTATGCAGGAACGCCAAAGTCGTAGTTTGACGTCGATTTAACACACATGCAGGCGTATATGCGAAAACCACCGACGCGACTACCCACGATGGTTCGCGGACGCCCACACCGGAGAGATCCAACGGAGAATTGCGGAGAAAAGCGCTCGTATACGCGGAGGTCAAAGACTCCCCCTTGCCTTATCCGACCTCGTCTTACGAGCGAGCGGCGTCGTACCGGCGCGAATTATTGTACCCTTCGGCATGCCAGCCCTTAAATTATACGGCCCCTTCTCGGTGTCAGGCGGTATACGTGCCGTTGCCATTACACGCCGAGAGAAACTAGTCTCTTCCCTGTCGTCGTCGTATCTTTGTCCTTCCGTGGGCATGCGAGTGACGCAGGGTTTTGTACCTCTGATGCGGTTGGTTGGTAAATCAAATTGTCGGGTGCATGCGCGCTCAAATGCATCTGTAAAGCGAATTATCAAGCCGTACGGGCTCGCATTCGCGTATATACACGACGATGAATGCAACGTCGGCGAGTTCAATCTGTTGGGCCGTTAATGATGTAATGCACCGCTAATGGAAGTAGCTCATATCCGTCGTAATGAATAGTTCGTTGAGAGATACAGAGAACGAACATACGTGCTGTAGCTTTGATTCTCGTAGAGTTAAGCTCAGTTTATGCGGGAAAGAAAATAGGAGTAATTATCAGCATATATCAATAATATAATTCTCACGTTAGAACACGTTTTTTTTCAATGTTTTCCTTGCAAACCGGATATTTATCTTCGCTGCTATTTCTTTAAGTCTCATCCTCGATTAAGTTTACGGCGTCTAATCTATACGTTATCGTCGCCGTGATTATCACAATCGCGTCTTAAACGCGTCTGCCGCCGATACGGAGCCTGTTTCGTATCGCCTGAGGATTTTCTCGGGTGTTATTATATCAGTCGATCGATGGAGTAAGCAATTCGTTAAAGAGTCAGCGGCTCGACATATATTTCGCACTCTGGCATCGCAGAAAAGAGGCGTCAGCTGCGAGCAAAGTCGTGTCTCTCCTTTATTCCCTGCCCGAGATCTCGCGTTAACCGAATGTAATTCACAATCGCGCGCACCCGATGATTACATCTCTACCTTTGTAGGCGGTTCGTGAAATGTTCGACACTACAAATTTATGCGAATGCCTTGCGGCCCGCGGGAAAAACCGACAATTAAAAATCCATCGTGTGGGTGTGCTGTCTTATTTTATCAATCTAAAGCGTATAGATAATAGTATAGATAATTTCGAACGAATTGTTATATTGCCTAATATAAATTACTGCCCGGAGAATATATAATTTTTTAATATATATCTCGTAAAAATAAATTTATATAATTTCTGAAGAACAAACATCGAAAATTATATACTTTATAATTTCCAATCTCCGGAAATATTATATATTACGCATATTTTTACGAGACTTATCGGAGTTTACGGTGAATTGATTATGTACATATATAAGCGTGAGTACGCATTGTACGCGTTGACATTAGGTGTAGCATAAAGCTTAGTTTCAAATACAGGATGTCTCAAAACTGTTCGATGCCTTTTAATCACAGGGTTGATTAATTTAAAAATTTTTCTCGAGAATATATCCTACGGTTTTTCAAAAATTAACTCATTAACAATTAAAAATAAGAAAGTTTTCTGTAGCAAATTATGAAGAGAAGACAAGATATTTCTCAGTAAATTTTAATACAATTTTAATAAAAATTCTCTGTGTAGATTTCCAAAATTTTTTTTTAGAATTTATCATGAAAATCATGGTAATCGTGGAACAATACTATGATATTGGAAAACTTTTATAAAAGTTTCCCTAATTAATATTTACCACAATAAAAAAATATTAATATGTATAATAAAATATAAAATATGTTCGATTAATTTTACTACGTATACATATTAATAAGTAAAATGTACTATGTATACATATATTAATATTTTTTATTGTGGTAAATATAGAGAAATTCTTATAAAATTTTTCAATATTATATAATATAATATAATATTATATAATATAAAATTTTCTTCATATACTTAAAAGGAGCGTATTCGAAAACTTGAAAGCAGATAACGATTTTATGTAATACTCCATAATTTACATAAATATATAATTAAAGTAAACAATGCATCTCTTTATATTTTTGACAGAGAAAAATACATTTACAAATGAAAATCGAATAACGCTAGTTTTGATTGCGAGACACCCTGTATATCTTTCTTGTAACGCTGCCAAGAAGTGGAAGGCCTCAAGTCCGGTCACATAACGGTCCAGTTATGGTATGGCGAGGAAGCGATCTCTCGCCTCGACACACGATTTCCTCGTTACACGAACGTGTCCTCAACCATTACCATCAGGTACTTCGTACCTTCCATCCACTACCCCTGCTTATCTCGCGCTACTGATAGGCACGCTTCGTTTCTTCGTGTGTGTATTTGCGCTGTTCTATCAAACTTTTTTTTCATTTTTTTATTGCCAACAAACGCGATCGCGGATGATCGTTACGGGAAGCACGATACGTGTCGAGATACTCGACCGCAAATAAGCACACTCTTCCCCATTTGTGTATATACGGTCGACGATGATAATAATAATAATAACATAATGACGTAATAACAATCGTTACAGTAACATTAGGAATGTTAATAACGCTCTTATTAGCGTGATTATTGCGTGATAATATCGCGATCGTTACACAGGAATACACCTACATGCAGGACTTCCTTCTTTCAGCGTCTTTGAAACAAATATTTATGACCTATCTGTTTGATTAACCAGTTTGATCGATAAAATGAGCAGTTATTATCATACGTTAATTTTCATCGTTATATCCTTGTATAATATAGTCTTTATATCATAATCGTTGTTTCATTATTTCCTACGATTTTTAAGATTACTTTTGAGAAATTATGATTTCGTCATATGCGATAACGTATAATAAATATTAATTTTTAAATGTCATAATCTAGAAGCACAATGAGCTTAATAAGTACTTCTGCGATTCAAGTGTATCGCGTGTAAGCGAGGAAAATGAGAAACGAAACACGTTTGCGTCACAGATCGAAGATTACGGATATCGGGACTACTTCCACCTCTTGATTGAGCCTTTCGAATAATTTCGAACCGCATGCTCGTGTTGTAAAGCACGAATCGTAATTACTGCTACCGATAGATAATACCGGGAAAATTGCAACGGAGCTAAACTGGCAGAGAGGCGATAAACGAAATTAAAACGATCGGTCGAAGGTGCAGAGGGGTGATGCAACGTAATAACGAGCACCCTCGTGATAATTCCACGGCGCTTGTTAAGATAATAGGTAATAACCTAATTGATTGGCATGCAAGATTTTGTACGGCGTCGTCGATGCAAAATATATGTGTAAAAGAGACAAGTATAGGGAATAAATATAGATAGAAAAAAAGTAGAAAAAAACGCACTCGCTATATACCTATTGACTCGTTGGAGAAAAATAATGAGAGATCGAGAAGGAAAAATCAGAACTCACCAGTTCAGTAGGCATGGTGTTGCAGGATCGAAGAGGCAGATTATACGTGATCGGAGCGGGCTGACTCCTGTACTCCTGCAGGCAGGAGCTGTTCTTCGATAACCCACGTGGGTAGACCAGACCGTGGAAGTCCGTGTTGCCCTCCGTCGAGATGTGAACGATTATCGATTCGCTCGCACATTCGATCTGCACGGTGCTCGCTATCGTTGCGGTCGCTGAAACAATCGAAATCATTTATAATTAGCGCATTATATTTTAGCACAAAAAAAATTATTCAATCTAATCTATACGTCTCCTCTCCCTCTCTTTCTCTAAATTACAAATTATCGTATTTGCAAACATTATACTTTGATCATGAATATTAGATGAGATTTTTTTTGAATACAGTACCCTCCATAAGTTTGGAAACACCTTACATTTTACAGTTAAACAATCGTATGGCAGCGATCTGTGTAGATTTTTTGTATCAATAAATCGTAAAATATTTAAATGACATTTTTATTTATGACAGATCCCTGAAGGGTACTGTATGCAATAAATAAGAAACGTCAATTTATAAGACTGTTTTTTGTTATCACGATTAATAATATTTCAAATAATATACTGATAAAAAACATCCCATTAAGTTTATATTCTTGTATGTTACGAATATCCAATTAAAGAATATTTCTTTAGAGAATTTTTCTCTTAAATTAAGAGACATTCTTTTGACAGATCTGTGTAGATTTTTTGTATAAATAAATCATAAAATAAACGTAAAATATTTAAATGTGACATTTTTATTTATAACAGATCGCTGCCATGCAATTCTTTAACTGTAAAATGTAAGGTGTTTTCAAACTTATGGAGAATACTGTATATATATTATTGTATCGAAACGTTTTTCAGACGCAAATAACGTAACGGTGTTTCTTATGAACGACGTGATCAATTTATTCGATATCTATGCGCCATATACGTCAAAGATATACTTGAATGAACAGTGACGACGTTCAACGATACGAATCGATCGTCGACACCCATTGAACGAATCTTATATCCGTATACAGCATGAGCGGCCATTGTACCCATAGTACAGTAATAATAATTTATCGTTATTAATGCCCGACACGTCGGGAATACGAATCGCGTAAATTAATATACCTCGGAGTTTAATAACCCCAGGGTTCACCTGTTACGAATCGCGTCTGCTCTCGATTTCAAGGTAATCGCGAGAACGTGAGATTCTCTGTTACGCGAAGCGGGGCCTAATTACAGAGAAGAGTCCGACGAGCTTTTTACGATTTTTTATGAAACGTTCCGCCGGCGAAATTGTTTTCCGGTGTATAACATCCGTGTCTGTTGATTTCGTTATAGATGCTCTGTTTCGAAATTGCGTTCGCAATTTTAATAAAGCGGAAGACGAAGAGACGGATATTCTTCGGTCAGGTCAGCAGCGAACAACGATCATTCGTAACGCTGAGACGAAAGCGAACGCACCGCGTAACTATTTGCATGGGCCATAAAACGTGAAAATGAGAATGAAAAATTGATGCCGATTGTGAGATCGTTACGGTTGGACAAATGGGCCGCGCCGATGTGAACTATCGCTTTCTGTTTAATCCGTTTCGTTTTCGCAACAAACAAACCTGACCTAGTCGAAGCGCAAACTCTCTTCGCAGATCGACCCTTTCTGATATCGCAAATTATCGATATCGACAAGGTGACATATGAAAAGAATGAAACATTTTGACAGATTATGATTTCATTAAAATAATGCATCATTGCACACACAAAATGCACGCATTTATATGCGATATGTAAATTATATAATCTTCTTTTCGCACTGAAAAAAAATTATTTGTTTATTTAAATAAATATTTATTTCAATACTCTTTTATACGCATCATTTATTGGAAATTAATAATTTCCAATTTGCTGTGAAAACAATATTTATTTGATATAAGAAATCATTTTTTAAAACATAAATATTCATTTGAATATTTATTCATAAATATTTATTTGTTTCAAACAAATGTGTAAATGGAAATATTTAAATATGCATTGTTATATTTTGGAATAATTTCATGGAAAAAATATTAACTGTCACAGCAAAAATTTAAGCATGATAAATTTCCTGTGTAATACAGACAGCTAAAAAGCCGTAGTAACTATTTTTTCCCGTGTTACACAGTTCGCGATCAAAAATGTAAAAAAGAAAAACTTAAAAATTCCACAATATCGGTGAAAATTCGTTTGTATCCGTTGTCCCGTGTCTAATTAGCTATAAAAGGTGGATTCGTATACCGAAACGGTACATAACTTACATAGCGTAAAATCATGCGCCGACCACTTGGCGTTACAATTTCGTTCATCAACTTTGCGCAATCGCATTACAACGCGATGAGAACATTAATTAAATTTAACGCGTACGCGCGGCAGTAGTGTGCGAAATTGCAGAGTCAGGCTAGCGTATTTTTTTAAATGCACGATGAAAATTAAATCACGGAGCGAAATAAATGATTATACCATTAACAACGACAATAGCTTTTACATACATATCGTTACCGCGATCACAATGCACAATGTGTGTGTGTGTGTGCATCTCTTTCATTCTTCATATTATATTTTTTACACTCGGAAAATCAAATTATCTCGTTAGTACGATAAGGAGGAGGAGGATATGATCGACGAAATCTGCCATTAAGCAGTGAGCGATTAAAACGGGACTCGAGTACATTCATCGCGCCTATAATGAGCCTGCGGATTATCGCTCCAGAAAATTCATTAGTGCTCCGAGGCCTTCGGAGCGACGCGACGGAGTAAGAGGAGAACGGCGCCTGAGTAAATTGGGAAGCTCGCATGCCGAGCGCGGCTCGTAATGACAATAATCATCGGCGAATTATCATTATCAGCCCCGCGGAGAGACAATGATGAGAGAGTTGTGAACTTGACTCTCGTCGGTGCACAGGCAGTCACGTCGGGCGTACTCTAGCTCTTCCTGCTCTCGCCTGGATCGCATCATTCGGGTTATTATCCGTCAGGGAATACCGCGAATCGTATCAAAGATTGCTTTTGCGAAAGGGAATGTTCTCGTCGTTCAAAACATCCATTCCAAGTCCGTGCGTTTTATTAAACAGATTGTCTAGAAATTTTGAAAATATTTAAGACCATTTCCAGGACACTTCAAGGAAATTTGCACGATTTTCCAATAATATAATCAAGATATAAAAGAAATTGAAAACTTGATTTTCTTTGACAATTGTATTGAATGATTATTTATTTTCTTTTCTTTATCGAGTCGATATAACTGCATGTTAATGAAAATTAATATATGCATTACAAATATTCAATACAATATTCTCTTACGTTATATTTGAACGCTTAAAATCTATAACTTATGCGTAACACATACTTTTGGACTTCAAAATAAAAAATATATTGTATTATTTACAAAATAAGATAAAATATTTTTTACTCGAATAATCTCAATTTTTAAAAGCAACGAAAAAATCAAAGATCTACGAAAAAATTTAAGCACACTTCCAAAATTTTTAAAGGACAAACAAAATTTCAGAACATTTCAAAGATTTCAAAGACGACTAGACACCCTGTTAAAACATGCACGTTTTTTAAGTCATTATTATAATTAAAAAAAATTGTGATGATTATGAAAAAGTGTAATAAAATAAAGATTTAATAGCAGATATCAAGTAGCCTTTGCATGATAAGAAAGTGGTCCGTTATATCATAAAAGTATTTTTTCTATTTATTTTAACTTTCTCTCGTCTCCGCTTCGTGTTTATAATCTGCATAAGTAATTGCAAAAGAATCCTATATCTTTAGATTCAAAGTTATACGTTTGACGAGCGTTTCCTTAATTTAATGCTATTGTCCTCCCTCGTTACTAAATTGAGAAACGACGTCCGATCAAGGTAAGGAAACAATTAATGGCACGCTGAAAGTTAATGACGCCGTTCCTCGTAATATCAGACCCCGATCGTTCGATCATCGTCCCAAAGTATCGAAGGAGAACCTCGAAAGTATCCTGAAATTCGCGAGGTCGACGACCGGCCACGTCCGTTTACTTCGCCTCTTTGATCCTCTCCATATATGTATAGCAGAATCTAAAGAAAAAAAGCCCAGAGGCAAGAAAGTTGCAAAAGTATTCTTTACTTTCCATTGCAATTTCACGGTATTTATTTCTGCAGTCTTAATTTTTGAGAATAAAAGCTTCTGTCATAAATTTCGCACACAGAAAAAAATTAGCCTCCATAACTAAATTTTATATATTATATATTACAATCTGAAATTTAATTATCTTATCTAAATTTTAACTAATATTTTTTAGCTATTTAAATGGAAAATTCTATAGCTAAAAAACATTAGCTATCGCATATGTAATAGCTGGTTCTTTTCTGTGTAGCAAAAAAATTAGTTTATTTTTCCTAAATTAATTAAAAATTAATTACCTATATATTAATTATATAAAATGTATTTTCGTTAAATTGAAATGATAAGTAACAAGATGTTCTCGTGGCAAAGAGACACGTTGGCTTTAAGACAAGAGTGACTATGCAGCGGTATCCTTTGCAAGTTGTATCATTACGTCATTAAAATCGCGAGATTGGTATCATCATGTAGAATCAATTCTAGATACCCCAGATTACCGTCCGATGCCGCACTTCCGTCACGAGATATATATCGTGTTATATACTCTCGAGCGAAATCGAGCATCAGCGACTTGGACCAAGTCGGGTCGGACGTCGAAGGTACTTGACCTTTTCTCTTTGTGCGGAGCGCACTCATATCGCATAAGATTCACTTGGACAACGTCTACAGTGAATCTCTCACTGATATGTCGCTTGTCACGACGGCGCGAAGCAAGTAAAAATGCTAATGAGAGCCTGTGTCTCAGCGTCGCCTTTATTCAGTTTTCCTTTCTCTCGCGGCGGCTTCTTTTCCCCCTCACATAGTCGCGATCTACACGTTGTGCACACATAGAGAGAAAGATAGAGATGCGGTATTCTTTCTTTTTCCGCCTCTGACTCACAAGTTCCCGAAGGGCGAAACAAAGGCGCGTCGAAGAAGACGTTCCCCGAGCGAGTGTAATTTGCAAACGACACGCGAGCCTCGCTGTGCGACTTCCGGCGCTTGTAGAATCGCCACATTGGAGAACTCGCCTTCGCATCCTTCCCTGGTCCCCCACGTTATTCTCTTTTTCCCTGTTCGTTTT